CCCCCCCCCATTTTTCCCCCCATTTTTTCCCATTCCCCCCTGTTTTTTGGGGACTTTTTCCGGGATTTGCCGCTTCCTGCGGGGGTCCCCGGGATCCCCAAATTTGGGGATTCCCCCTCCCCTCCCCCAAAATCCGGGTCAGGCCCCGGGCGGGGAGTTAAAAAATGGGAAAAAATGGGGAAAAAATTGGGAAAAAAAGAGAAAAACTGGGGGAAAACTGGGGAAATAAATGGGAAAAAAGGGAAAAAATGGGAAAATTGGGGGAAAATGGGAAAAAATGGGGAGGTGGGGGAGGGGATTGGGGACCCCCCTTTGGTGACAGCGGGGGGCGGCGCCGGGGGGGCCCCAAAACCCCGAAACAGCCCCGGGGGGGGGGGGGGGCGGGGGGGGTGACACCGGTGACAGCCCCTCCCCCCCCCCGCCCCTCCCCCCCCCGTCCCTCTGCGGCTTTTGGGTGCGGGGGGGGGGAGGGGGGGGGGGACACTAAAAATACCCCGGGGGGGGGAGGGGGGGGCGCACGTGGTTTGCACCCCAAAAATAGCGCGGGGGGGGGCGGGGGGGGCGCTCCGAGCTGGGTCCCCAAGGGGGGGGGGAGGGGATCGTGTGACCCCCGCGAGGAAAAATGGGGGAAAATGTGGAAAAAGCGGTGAAAAATGCGGATTTCGGCCCCTTCCTGGCGCGGGTGCCGCTCCCAGCGCTCGGGGCCGCTCTGAGTCACCCCCGGGTCGTCCCCCCCCCCCGGCTCTGAGTCACCAACCCGTTTGGCCAACGCCGAGCGGGGCCTGCGGAGCCTTTCCAGAACCTTCCGGGCCCGAGGCGGCCCCGCCGGACACCCGGGGGGGCGGGGGGGCGGGGGGGGGACACCGGCAGCGCGCGACCCCCCCCAGGTGTCACCGCCCCCCCCCCCCCGGGTGTCCCCAAGGTGGTCACCGCCCCCCCCGGGTGTCACCGCCGCCCCCCCCCTCCCGCGTCCCCCTCCTCGTTTTTTGTTTTTTTTTTTTTTATTGGGGGGGGGGACTTTGTACAAAAAACAAAAATCCCCGGAATTGTCTAAAAACGGAGAAATTCCCTCAGAATTTCGGGCGGTGGGGGAAGGGCGGGGTCAGCTGACAGGTGACGAGGGAGGGGGAGGGGCGGCAGGGGACAGGTGACCCCCCCCCCTCCCCCCCCCCCCCCACGCTGCCCCGCCCTTCCCGACCGGAATTGCCGCGAATCCCAAAAATCCGCGGGCTCCGCGCTGGCCCTGGGGACATCGGGGGGGGGCCCGAAGTGTCCCCAAAGTGTCCCCAATGTCCCGGGGGTGTCCCCGTGTCCTGGGCGTGTCCTGGGCGTGTCCTGGGCGTGTCCTGGGCGTGTCCCCGCTGTCCCCCCCGTGTCCCCACCGTGTCCCCACCGTGTCCCCGCTGTCCCCCCAGGCCGGGAGGCGTCACCGGAGCCGCCGCGAGGTTCCCGAGCGAGGCCCGAGGATTCCAGGGGCGGATCCGGGACCGGCACCGGGGCCCGCCAAGGTCAGCGGGGCCGCCCGGGCCCTCCTGGGACCCCAGACCCACCCTGACCCCACCCCCCAGCCCCACCCCGATCCCAGCCCCACCCTGACCCCACCCCCAGACCCACCCTGACCCCAGCCCCACCCTGACCCCACCCCCAGACCCACCCTGACCCCTGACCCCTGACCCCATGTCCAGCCCACCGCCAGTGTCCAGCCCCGTGTCCAGCCCTGCACTGACCCCACCCCCAGTGTCCAGCCCCACCCTGACCCCTGACCCCATGTCCAGCCCACACCCGCTGTCCAGCCCTGCCCTGACCCCACACCCAGTGTCCAGTCCCTGACCCGGTGTCCGGCCCCACTGACCCCCAGCCATGCCCAGCCCCGTTGTCCATGCCCGTGTCCATCCCTGTGTCCATCCCTGCTGCCCCCCTGCCCCCTGCCCCCCTGACCCCGGCGCTGTCCCGGCGCAGATGGAGCCCGAGGAGACGCGGGAGCTGCTCCTGCCCAGCTGGACGGGCAGCGGCTCCCACGGCATCACCATCGCCCAGACCGACGACGGCGTCTTCGTGCGCCGCGTGCAGCAGAACTCGCCGGCCGCGCGCATGGGCGTGGTGCAGGAAGGTGGGCGGGGCGCAGGAAGGTGGGCGGGGCGCAGGAAGGTGGGCGGGGCGCAGGCAGGTGGGCGGGGCGCACCTGGGGGCTCCCGGCACACCTGGGCTGGCCTGGGGGCACCTCAGGCGCTTCTGTCTCAGTCCCTGTGGGTTCTGACCCCTGGTTCAAGCGTTTCGGGTCCAAATCTTGAGGGTTTGGGGGTTAAAATTGGAGTTTTGGGGGTTTGCGGCATCTCAGGAGCTTCTGCCTCCTCTGGCGACCCCACGGGCACGCGGGTGGGGACAGGGCCCCCTTCCCTCAGAGTTTTGGGGTTCAAAATGGGATTTTTGGGGTCGTTTGGTCCATTTGGTGGCGCTCAGGAGCTTCTGCCTCCGCGCCCATGGGCGATGACCCCGGGGTCGCTCGGGTGGGGCACAGGGGGGTCCCTGCCCATGTCCCCCCTCCCCAGCCCCTGACCTGGCTGTCCCCTGTCCCCAGGGTCCCTGGGGTGGCCATGGAGGTGTCCCCAGCCCCTGTCCCCTATCCCTGTGGGTCCCTGTGGGTCCCTGGGGTGTCCCCAGCCCCTGACCCGCTGTCCCCGCTGTCCCCCTCGGTGTCCCCAGGGGATCAGATCGTCGGTGCCACCGTTTACTTTGACAAGCTGCAGTCGGGGGAGGCGGCGCAGCTGCTGCAGAGCCTGGGCCAGCACACGCTGGGGCTGCGGCTGCACAGCGGCGCGGGGACCCGCTCGCCCACGGCCGGACACGGCTGCGGCCACGGCTGCGGCCAGCCCGGACACGGCCACGGCTGCGGCCAGCTGGACTTGGTGCCCGGCAGCCCCGAGGTGGTGCTGGTGAGTGAGGAGGAGGAGGAGGGCGGAGGAAGGAGGAGAATGGGGATGAGGGTGAGGATGATGAGGATGGGAATGGGGATTAGGACAAGGACAGGGATGAGGATGAGGATGATGATGGGGATGACGATGATGATGATGATGATGAGGATGATGAAGGGCGCGGGCAGGCAGCACTGTCCCTCTCTCACCATCTCCGTGCCCCGCAGAGCGGCGATGATGAGGATGGGAATGGGGATTAGGACAAGGACAGGGATGGGGATGGGGATGATGATGATGATGATGATGAGGATGATGATGAGCACATGGAGGCAGCAGTATCCATCTCTCACCATCTCCATGCCCCGCAGAGCGGCGATGATGAGGATGGGAATGGGGATGGGGATGGGGATGGGGATGATGATGAGGATGATGAGGATGATGAAGGGCACAGCAGGCAGCCATGTCCCTCTCTCACCATCTCCGTGCCCCGCAGAGCGGCGACGATGAGGATGGGGATGGGGATTAGGACAAGGACAGGGATGGGGATGAGGATGATGATGGGGATGAGGATGATGAGGATGATGAAGGGCGCGGGCAGGCAGCCATGTCTCTCTCTCACCATCTCCGTGCCCCGCAGAGCGGCGATGATGAGGATGGGAATGGGGATTAGGACAAGGACAGAGATGGGGATGGGGATGAGGATGATGAGGATGATGAAGGGCACGGCAGGCAGCAGTATCCCTCTCTCACCATCTCCATGCCCTGCAGAGCGGCGATGATGAGGAGTACCGGCGCATCTACACCACCAAGATCAAACCGCGGCTCAGGAGCGAGGAGGGCCCCGAGGCCGAGGGGACGCAGAGCAGAACCATCACGGTCACCCGCAGGGTCACCGCCTACACCGTGGATGTCTCCGGCCGCGACGGCGACCTCGCCCTCGCCGACGTCCGAGCGGGGCCGGGCCACCCGCCCGGGACGCCCGAGGGGCTTCACCTGAGCCAAATTCCCGCTGGAGAAACTGGAAAATCCCTGCCGGGCTGGAAGGGCCCCGGGGCCTCGCCGGCGTCGCCGCGGGTGGAGGCCAACGGACAGTTTGGGGAGCTGGACGGGTCCCTGCCCGTGGCCGGAGGGGCTCCGTGTCCCCACGGGGAGCTCAGCGGCTCCTCCCCAGTGGACGTGGGGAAAGTCAAGATCCCGACGCTAAAAATCCCCAAATTCGGGTTCCAGGCTGGCGGCGAAGCTCCGGCCCCGCAGGTGGACGTCACCGCCCCGGTGCCACAGGTGGACGTGGCGGTCAAAGGTGCCACCAAGGTCCCCTGCCCTCCACCGGACGTAGAGGTTCCAGCCACGGATGGCGCCAAGGGGAAAATCAAAATCCCGCACTTGACCTTCCCCAAATTCACCGCCCAGGGCGACGGCGGCGCCGCCGTGGATGTCCCCAAGGGCGTGGCCGTCCCCAAGGGCGTGGCCGTCCCCGAGGGCGTGGCCCTGCCCGAGGTGGCCCTGGAAGGAGAATGGAAAGGCCCCACCTTCAAGAAGGTGGAAACGCCCCAAATTTCGCTGTCGGACGTGAACCTGAACCTGAGGGGCCCCAGAGGGGAAGGGGACCCCAAAGGCCTCGGCCCCAAGGGGCTCCAGGTGGAGCTGAAGGGTCCCCAGGTGGACGTGGCCGGGCCTGGGGGCGGCCTGAAGGGCGTGGAGGTGGACACGAAGGGGCTGAAGGGAGGAGTGGACGCGTCCGTGCCCACCCTGGGGGGCGAAGTGAGGGGGCCACAGCTGGACCTGAAAGGGCCCCAAATTGGGGTGGGGGTGCCCGAGATGAGCATCAAGAGCCCCCAGGTGTCCGTGCCCGACGCCGACCTGAGCCTCAAAGGGCCCGGAGTGAAGGGAGCTCTGGATGTTTGCGCCCCAAAACTGGAAGGGGAACTGAAGAGCCCCGGGCTGGACATCAAAGGGCCCAGAGTGGAGGTGGGGAGCCCAGAAATGGAGATCCAGGGGCCCGAGGGGAAGCTGAGGTTCCCCAAGCTGAAAATGCCCAAATTTGGGGTGAAGGGAGAGAGCCCCAGCGCCGAGGTGACCCTTCCCAAAGGGGGCGTGGACGTCTCCTGCCCCAAGGTGGACGTCAGCGCCCCGAGTGTGGACATCAAAGGCCCCAAGGTGGACGTTGAGGCGCCCGAAGTGGACGTGCAGGGCCCCGAGGGGAAATTCAAGATGCCCAAATTCAAAATGCCCAAATTTGGGATGCCCGGGGTGAAAGCAGAAGGTCCCGAGCTGGACGTGAACCTCCCAAAGGGCGGCGTGGAGGTGTCCGGCCCCAAGGTGGACGTTGAGGCGCCGAGTTTGGACATCCAGGCCCCCAAAATCTCCGTGCCGGACGTTGGGGTGACCCTGAACGGTGCCAAGGCCAGCGGCGACCTGGACGTGTCCGTGCCGGGTTTGAAGGGCCCCGAGCTGGACATCAAAGGCCCCAAAGTCGAGGTTGAAGCGCCAAATTTGGACGTTCAAGGCCCCGAGGGCAAACTGAGGTTCCCCAAGATGAAAATGCCCAAATTTGGGGTGAAGGGAGAGAGCCCCGAGCTCGAGGTGACCCTTCCCAAAGGGGACGTGGACGTTTCGGGCCCCGGCGTCGCCGTTGAGGTCCCCGGCGTGGACCTGAAGGGCCCCAAGGTGAAGGTGCCCGAGGTGGGCATCAAAACCCCCCAGATCTCCATGCCCGACATCGACCTGAGCCTCAAAGGGCCCAAAGTCAAGGCAGATTTGGACGTTTCCACCCCAAAACTGGAAGGGGAGCTGAAGACCCCCGGGCTGGAGGTCAAAGGGCCCAAAGTCGAGGTTGAAGCGCCAAATTTGGACGTTCAAGGCCCCGAGGGCAAACTGAGGTTCCCCAAGATGAAAATGCCCAAATTTGGGGTGAAGGGAGAGAGCCCCGAGCTCGAGGTGACGCTTCCCAAAGGGGGCGTGGACATTTCGGGCCCCGGCGTCGCCGTTGAGGTCCCCGGCGTGGACCTGAAGGGCCCCAAGGTGAAGGTGCCCGAGGTGGGCATCAAAACCCCCCAGATCTCCATGCCCGACATCGACCTGAGCCTCAAAGGGCCCAAAGTCAAGGCAGATTTGGACGTTTCCACCCCAAAACTGGAAGGGGAGCTGAAGACCCCCGGGCTGGAGGTCAAAGGGCCCAAAGTCGAGGTTGAAGCGCCAAATTTGGATGTCCAAGGCCCCGAGGGCAAACTGAAGTTCCCCAAGATGAAAATGCCCAAATTTGGGGTGAAGGGAGAGAGCCCCGAGCTCGAGGTGACGCTCCCCAAGGGGGAGGTGGACATCAGCACCCCCAAAGTGGACATCAGCGCCCCCAAAGTGGACATTTCTGCCCCCAAAGTGGACATTTCTGCCCCCAAGGTGGACATTTCGGCCCCCAAGGTGGACATCAATGCCCCCAAAGTGGACATCAGCGCCCCCAGCGTGGACGTGGAAGGGCCGGAGGTGAAAGGGAAAGGCCTCAAGTTCAAAATGCCCGAACTCAATGTTCAGACCCCCAAACTCTCCATGCCCGATGTGGATCTGGGCTTGAAGGCCCCGAAAATCAAAGGGGACCTCGGAATTTCTGGGCTGAAGGGCCCGAAGATCGACGTGAAAGGCCCCAAAGTGGACGTGGAAAGTGCCAGAATCGACGTGCAAGGTCCCAAGGTGGATGTGGGAGGTCCCAAGGTGGATGTGGAAGGTCCCAAGGTGGATGTGGACGTGCCTGAGGTGGACGTGGAGTGTCCAGAAGGGAAGATGAAAGGCCCCAAATTCAAGATGCCCAAACTCAACATCAAATCCCCCAAAATCTCGATGCCGGACGTGGATTTGAACCTGAAGGGACACAAAGTGAAGGGAGAGGTGGACGTGTCCCTCCCCAAGGTCGAAGGTGACCTCAAGGGGCCGAAGGTGGACGTGGAGGTCCCGGACGTGCACCTGGAGGGTCCAGAGGCCAAACTGAAAATGCCCAAAATGAAATTGCCTCATTTCAACGTGTCCGGCCCCAAAATGGAGGGGCCCGAGGTGGACGTGACCCTGCCCAAAGGAGAGGTGGACGTCTCGGGGCCGGAGGTGGACATTGAGGGTCCAGAGGTGGACGTTGGAGGAGTGGAAGGGAAATGGAAAGGTCCCAAGTTCCGGATGCCCAAACTCAACATCAAATCCCCCAAAATCTCGATGCCGGACGTGGATTTGAACCTGAAGGGACCCAAAGTGAAGGGAGACGTGGACGTGACCCTCCCCAAGGTGGAGGGGGAGTTGAAAGCTCCAGAAGTGGACGTCAAAGGCCCCAAGGTGGACGTGGAGGTGCCCGGCGTGGATTTGGAGGGGCCGGAGGGGAAGATCAAAGGGCCCAAGTTCAAGATGCCCGAGATGCACATCAAGACCCAGAAGATCTCCATGCCCGACGTGGACATCAACCTCAAGGGCCCCAAAATCAAGGGCGACGTGGACGTGTCCCTGCCAAAGCTGGAGGGTGACCTGAAGGGGCCTGAACTGGACATCAAGGGCCCCAAAGTGGACATTGAGGCTCCTGATGTGGACATTCATGGTCCAGAGGGGAAATTCAAGATGCCCAAATTCAAAATGCCCAAATTTGGGATGAAGGGAGAAGGCCCCGAGGTGGACGTGAACCTCCCAAAAGGAGACCTGGATGTGTCCGGCCCCAAGGTGGACATTGAAGGGCCAGAGGTGGACATTGACCTCCCAGAGGGGAAGGTGAAGGGCCCCAAGTTCAAGATGCCCGAGATGCATTTTAAGACCCCCAAGATCTCCATGCCCGACATTGATTTGAATCTAAAGGGTCCAAAACTGAAGGGCGATGTCGATGTCTCTGTACCAAAGCTCGAGGGTGACCTGAAAGGCCCCGAGATTGACCTGAAGGGCCCCAAAGTGGACATTGAGGCTCCTGACGTGGACATCCACGGGCCTGAGGGGAAATTCAAGATGCCCAAATTCAAAATGCCCAAATTTGGGATGAAGGGAGAAGGCCCCGAGGTGGACGTGAACCTCCCAAAAGGAGACCTGGATGTGTCCGGCCCCAAGGTGGACATTGAAGGGCCAGAGGTGGACGTGGAGCTGCCGGAGGGGAAGGTGAAGGGTCCGAAATTCAAAATGCCCGAGATGCACATCAAGGCCCCCAAGATCTCCATGCCTGACGTTGATTTCAACCTGAAGGGCCCCAAAATCAAGGGTGACATCGATGTCTCTGCTCCAAAACTGGAAGGTGACCTGAAGGGGCCTGAACTGGACATCAAAGGCCCCAAAGTGGACATTGAAGCCCCTGATGTGGACATTCACGGGCCTGAGGGGAAATTCAAGATGCCCAAATTCAAAATGCCGAAATTTGGGATGCCCGGGGTCAAGGCAGAAGGCCCCGAGGTGGACGTGAACCTCCCGACAGGAAACCTGGATGTGTCCGGCCCCAAGGTGGACATTGAAGGGCCAGAGGTGGACATTGAGGGGCCAGAGGGGAAGGTGAAGGGTCCGAAATTCAAAATGCCCGAGATGAACATCAAAGCCCCCAAGATCTCCATGCCTGACATTGACTTCAACCTGAAGGGCCCCAAGGTCAAGGGTGACATCGACGTCTCTGCTCCAAAGCTCGAGGGTGACCTGAAAGCCCCAGACATCGACATCAAGGGCCCCAAAGTGGACATTGAGGCACCCGACGTGGACATTCACGGTCCAGAAGGAAAATTCAAGATGCCCAAGTTCAAGATGCCCAAATTTGGGTTGAAGGGAGAAGGCCCTGAGGTGGACGTGAACCTCCCAAAAGGAGACCTGGATGTGTCCGGCCCCAAGGTGGACGTTGAGATGCCGAGTGTGGACATTGAGGGGCCAGAGGGGAAGGTGAAAGGCCCCAAGTTCAAGATGCCCGAGATGAACATCAAGGCCCCCAAGATCTCCATGCCTGACATCGACCTGAACCTGAAGGGCCCCAAAGTCAAGGGGGGCGTTGATGTCTCCATCCCCAAGCTGGAGGGTGACCTGAAGGGGCCTGAACTGGACATCAAAGGCCCCAAAGTGGACATTGAGGCACCCGACGTGGACATTCATGGTCCAGAAGGAAAATTCAAGATGCCCAAGTTCAAAATGCCCAAATTTGGGATGAAGGGGGAAGGCCCCGAGGTGGACGTGAACCTCCCAAAAGGAGACCTGGATGTGTCCGGCCCCAAGGTGGACATTGAAGGGCCAGAGGTGGACATTGACCTCCCAGAGGGGAAGATCAAAGGCCCCAAGTTCAAGATGCCCGAGATGCACATCAAGGCCCCCAAGATCTCCATGCCTGACATCGATCTCAACCTCAAAGGCCCCAAACTCAAGGGGGGCGTTGATGTCTCCATCCCCAAATTGGAGGGCGACCTGAAAGCTCCGGATGTGAACATTAAAGGTCCCAAGTTGGATGTGGACGTTCCTGAGGTGGACGTTGAAGGTCCCGAGGGGAAGTGGAAGGGCCCCAAGCTCAAGATGCCCGAGATGAACATCAAGGCGCCGAAATTTTCTCTGCCTGATGTCGACCTGAACCTGAAAGGTCCCAAAGTGAAGGGAGACGTGGGCGTGTCTGCCCCAAAAATAGAAGGTGACGTGAAAGTGCCGGATCTGGAGTTGAAAGGACCCAAAGTGGACGTGGATGTCCCCGATGTGGAGCTGGAGTGCCCCGAGGGGAAGATCAAAGGGCCCAAGTTCAAGATGCCTGAGATGCACATCAAGGCCCCCAAGATCTCCATGCCCGACTTTGATCTCAACCTCAAGGGCCCCAAAGTGAAGGGAGACGTGGATGTGTCCGTCCCAAAAATTGAGGGAGATTTGAAGGCCCCAGACATCGACATCAAAGGCCCCAAAGTCAATGTGGAGCTCCCCGACGTGGAGCTGGAGTGCCCTGAGGGGAAACTGAAGGGCCCCAAGTTCAAGATGCCCGAAATGCACTTCAAAACCCCCAAAATCTCCATGCCCGACATCGACCTCAACCTGAAGGGCCCCAAACTCAAGGGGGATTTGGACATTTCTGCTCCGAAACTGGAAGGTGACCTGAAGGGCCCAGACGTGGACATCAAAGGCCCCAAGGTGGACATCGAAGCCCCTGATGTGGACATTGACCTCCCCGAGGGGAAGGTGAAGGGCCCCAAGTTCAAGATGCCCGAGATGCACTTCAAGGCCCCCAAGATCTCCATGCCCGACTTCGATCTGAACCTGAAGGGCCCCAAGGTCAAGGGTGACGTGGATGTGTCCGTGCCGAAGCTTGAGGGGGACCTGAAAGGGCCGGAGGTGTCGCTGAAAGGTCCCAAAGTGGACGTGGATGTCCCCGATGTGGAGCTGGAGTGCCCCGAGGGGAAGATCAAAGGGCCCAAGTTCAAAATGCCCGAGATGCACATCAAGGCCCCCAAAATCTCCATGCCCGACTTTGATCTCAACCTGAAGGGCCCCAAACTGAAGGGAGACGTGGATGTTTCTGCTCCCAAGCTGGAAGGGGACCTGAAGGGGCCTGAGCTGGACATCAAAGGCCCCAAAGTCGATGTCAGCGTCCCCGACGTGGAGCTGGAGTGTCCTGAGGCGAAGCTGAAGGGCCCCAAGTTCAAGATGCCCGAGATGCACATCAAGGCACCCAAGATCTCCATGCCCGACATTGATCTCAACCTGAAGGGCCCCAAATTAAAGGGGGACGTCGATGTCTCTGTTCCAAAGCTCGAGGGAGACCTGAAAGCCCCAGACATCGACATCAAGGGCCCCAAAGTCAATGTGGACCTCCCCGATGTGGAGCTGGAGTGTCCTGAGGGGAAGATCAAAGGGCCCAAGTTCAAGATGCCCGAGATGCACATCAAGGCCCCCAAGATCTCCATGCCTGACGTTGATTTCAACCTGAAGGGCCCCAAAATCAAGGGTGACATCGACGTCTCTGCTCCAAAGCTCGAGGGTGACCTGAAGGGGCCTGAACTGGACATCAAGGGCCCCAAAGTGGACATTGAGGCACCCGACGTGGACATTCACGGGCCTGAGGGGAAATTCAAGATGCCCAAGTTCAAAATGCCCAAATTTGGGATGAAGGGAGAAGGCCCCGAGGTGGACGTGAGCCTCCCAAAAGGAGACCTGGATGTGTCCGGCCCCAAGGTGGACATTGAAGGGCCAGAGGTGGACATTGACCTCCCAGAGGGGAAGGTGAAGGGCCCCAAGTTCAAGATGCCCGAGATGCATTTTAAGACCCCCAAGATCTCCATGCCCGACATCGACCTCAACCTGAAGGGCCCCAAATTGAAGGGGGACATCGATGTTTCTGCTCCAAAGCTGGAAGGAGACCTGAAGGGCCCTGAAGTTGACATCAAGGGCCCCAAAGTCAACGTGGACCTCCCTGATGTTGATTTGGAAGGGCCAGAGGGGAAGATCAAAGGGCCCAAGTTCAAGATGCCCGAGATGCACATCAAGGCCCCCAAGTTCTCCATGCCCGACGTTGATTTCAGCCTGAAGGGCCCCAAAGTCAAAGGTGACATCGACATCTCTTTCCCCAAGCTGGAAGGGGACCTAAAAGGCCCCGAAATCGACATCAAGGGCCCCAAAGTGGACGTTGAGGCACCTGACGTGGACATTCATGGCCCAGAAGGGAAAATAAAATTCCCCAAGTTCAAAATGCCCAAATTTGGGATGCCCGGGGTCAAGGCAGAAGGTCCCGAGCTGGACGTGAACCTCCCGACAGGAAACCTGGATGTGTCCGGCCCCAAGGTGGACATTGAAGGGCCAGAGGTGGACATTGACCTCCCCGAGGGGAAGGTGAAGGGCCCCAAGTTCAAGATGCCCGAGATGCACATCAAGGCCCCCAAGATCTCCATGCCCGACGTTGACTTCAACCTCAAAGGCCCCAAACTGAAGGGGGACGTTGATGTTTCTGTTCCCAAACTCGAGGGTGACCTGAAAGCCCCAGACATCGACATCAAGGGCCCCAAAGTCGACGTTGATCTCCCTGACGTTGAGTTGGAGGGGCCCGAGGGGAAGATCAAAGGGCCCAAGTTCAAGATGCCCGAGATGCACATCAAGGCCCCCAAGTTCTCCATGCCCGACGTTGATTTCAGCCTGAAAGGCCCCAAAGTCAAAGGTGACATCGACGTCTCTGTCCCCAAGCTGGAAGGGGACCTGAAGGGCCCCGAAATCGACATCAAGGGCCCCAAAGTGGACATTGAGGCTCCTGACGTGGACATTCACGGCCCAGAAGGAAAAATAAAATTCCCCAAGTTCAAAATGCCCAAATTTGGGATGCCTGGGGTCAAGGCAGAAGGCCCTGAGGTGGACGTGAACCTCCCGACAGGAAACCTGGATGTGTCTGGCCCCAAGGTGGACATTGAAGGGCCAGAGGTGGACATTGAGGGGCCTGAGGGGAAGATCAAAGGCCCCAAGTTCAAGATGCCTGAGATGCACATCAAGGCCCCCAAGATCTCCATGCCCGACATCGATCTGAACCTGAAGGGCCCCAAACTGAAGGGGGACGTCGATGTTTCTGCTCCAAAGCTCGAGGGTGACCTGAAAGCCCCAGACATCGACATCAAAGGCCCCAAAGTCGATGTTGATCTCCCCGACGTTGAGTTGGAAGGGCCCGAGGGGAAGATCAAAGGGCCCAAGTTCAAGATGCCCGAGATGCACATCAAGGCCCCCAAAATCTCCATGCCCGACGTTGATTTCAGCCTGAAAGGCCCCAAAATCAAAGGTGACATCGACGTCTCTGTCCCCAAGCTGGAGGGTGACCTGAAGGGGCCTGAACTGGACATCAAAGGCCCCAAAGTGGACATCGAGGCACCCGACGTGGACATTCATGGTCCAGAAGGGAAAATCAAAATGCCCAAGTTCAAGATGCCCAAATTCGGCTTTTCTGGGCCCAAAGTGGAAGGCCCTGAGGTGGACGTGAACCTCCCCGAGGCCGAGGTCAACATTTCGGGTCCAAAAGTCGACGTTTCTGTCCCCGAGCTGGACGTGGAAGGCCCCGAAGGGAAACTGAAGGGCCCCAAGCTGAAGATGCCGGAGCTGCAGTTCAACGTCCCCAAGATCTCCATGCCCGACATCGACCTCAACCTGAAGGGCCCCAAACTGAAGGGCGACCTCGACGCTTCTCTGCCCAGCATGGAGGGCGAGCTGAAGGGCCCCAAAGTGGACATCAAGGGGCCGGAGCTTGAGCTGGAGGGGCCGAAGGTGGACCTGGAAGGAAAAGCTAAAAAATCCAGGTTTAAACTCCCCAAGTTTGGCTTTTCTGGCCCAAAAGTTCAAAGCCCCGAGGTGGATGTGAAGGTTAAGAAGCCTGAGGTGGAACTGTCCGGGCCGAAAGTCGAGGTCCAGGCTCCGGATTTGGACGTGCAGGGAAAATCCAAGGGCTCCAAATTCAAAATGCCTTTTCTGAACATTTCTTCACCCAAAGTGTCGATGCCGGACGTGGAGCTGAACCTGAAGGGGCACAAGATGAAGGGGGAGTTTGACGTGTCCACCCCCAAACTGGAGGGGGAGCTGAAGGGGCCTGAGGTGGACATCAAGGGCCCCAAGGTCAACATCGAGGCCCCCGACGTGGACGTTCACGGCCCGGAGGGGAAAATCAAAATGCCCAAGTTCAAAATGCCCAAATTTGGTGTTCCTGGGTTTAAAGGGGAGGGGCCAGAGGTGGACGTGAACCTGCCCACAGGAGAACTGGACGTGTCCGGGCCTAAAGTGGACATTGAAGGTCCGGAGGTGGACATTGAGGGGCCAGAGGGGAAGATCAAAGGCCCCAAGTTCAAGATGCCCGAGATGAACATCAAAGCCCCCAAAATCTCCATGCCCGACATCGACCTCAACCTGAAGGGCCCCAAAGCCAAGGGGGACGTGGACGTGTCCCTGCCCCAGGTGGAGCTGAAGGGACCCAAGGTGGACGTGGAAGTTCCCGACGTCGATGTCGAGGGTCCGAAAGGGAAAATCAAAGGCCCCAAATTCAAAATGCCCGAGATGAACATCAAAGCTCCCAACCTGTCCATGCCGGACCTGGACCTCAACCTGAAAGGCCCCAAGGTCAAAGGGGGGGTGGACGTCGATCTGTCCGCGCCAAAAATCGAAGGGGACCTGAACTTGCCGGACGTCGACATCAAAGGCCCCAAAGTGGACATTGAAGGGCCAGAGGTGGACATTGAGGGGCCTGAGGGGAAGATCAAAGGCCCCAAGTTCAAGATGCCCGAGATGCACATCAAGGCCCCCAAAATCTCCATGCCTGACGTTGATTTTAACCTGAAGGGCCCCAAAATCAAGGGTGACATCGATGTCTCTGCTCCGAAGATTGAGGGTGACCTGAAGGGGCCTGAACTGGACATCAAGGGCCCCAAAGTGGACATTGAGGCTCCTGACGTGGACATTCACGGGCCTGAGGGGAAATTCAAAATGCCCAAGTTCAAAATGCCCAAATTTGGGATGAAGGGAGAAGGCCCCGAGGTGGACGTGAACCTCCCAAAAGGAGACCTGGATGTGTCCGGCCCCAAGGTGGACGTTGAGGGGCCAGAGGTGGACATTGACCTCCCAGAGGGGAAGGTGAAGGGCCCCAAGTTCAAGATGCCCGAGATGCATTTTAAGACCCCCAAGATCTCCATGCCTGACATCGACCTCAACCTGAAGGGCCCCAAATTGAAGGGGGACGTTGATGTCTCGGTCCCCAAGCTCGAGGGTGACCTGAAAGCCCCAGACATCGACATCAAAGGCCCCAAAGTCGATGTTGATCTCCCCGACGTTGATCTGGAAGGTCCCGAGGGGAAGATCAAAGGCCCCAAGTTCAAGATGCCCGAGATGCACATCAAGGCCCCCAAAATCTCCATGCCCGACTTTGATCTCAGCCTGAAGGGCCCCAAAGTGAAGGGAGATGTGGACGTGTCACTGCCAAGCGTGGAAGGAGACCTCAAAGGGCCAAAGGTGGATGTGAAAGGCCCTGAATTCGATGTTTCTGCCCCAGATGTTCAAATTGAGGGCCCTGAAGGGAAAATCAAAGGCCCCAAGTTCAAGATGCCCGAGATGCACATCAAGGCCCCCAAGATCTCCATGCCTGACTTTGATCTCAACCTCAAGGGCCCCAAACTGAAGGGAGATGTTGATGTCTCTGTCCCCAAAGTGGAAGGGGACCTGAAAGCCCCAGACATCGACATCAAGGGCCCCAAAGTCGATGTTGATCTCCCCGACGTGGAGCTGGAAGGGCCCGAGGGGAAGATCAAAGGGCCCAAGTTCAAGATGCCCGAGATGCACATCAAGGCCCCCAAGATCTCCATGCCTGATGTTGATTTCAACCTGAAGGGCCCCAAAATCAAGGGTGACGTGGACGTGTCCCTGCCAAAGCTGGAGGGTGACCTGAAGGGGCCTGAACTGGACATCAAGGGCCCCAAAGTGGACATTGAGGCACCCGACGTGGACATTCACGGGCCTGAGGGGAAATTCAAGATGCCCAAATTCAAAATGCCCAAATTTGGGATGAAGGGAGAAGGCCCCGAGGTGGACGTGAACCTCCCAAAAGGAGACCTGGATGTGTCCGGCCCCAAGGTGGACGTTGAGATGCCGAGTGTGGACATTGAGGGGCCAGAGGGGAAGGTGAAAGGCCCCAAGTTCAAGATGCCCGAGATGCACATCAAGGCCCCCAAAATCTCCATGCCCGACATCGACCTCAATCTGAAAGGCCCCAAACTGAAGGGCGATGTCGATGTTTCCCTTCCCAAAGTTGAAGGAGACCTGAAAGCCCCAGACATCGACATCAAAGGCCCCAAAGTCAATGTGGACCTCCCTGACGTGGGCCTGGAAGGTCCTGAGGGGAAGATCAAAGGGCCCAAGTTCAAGATGCCCGAGATGCACATCAAGGCCCCCAAAATCTCCATGCCCGACGTTGATTTCAACCTGAAGGGCCCCAAACTGAAGGGTGACATCGATGTTTCTGCTCCAAAATTAGAGGGTGACTTGAAAGGCCCCGAAATTGAAATCAAGGGCCCCAAAGTGGACGTTGATGTGCCAGATGTGGACATTCACGGCCCAGAAGGGAAAATCAAAATGCCCAAGTTCAAAATGCCCAAATTCGGCTTTTCTGGTCCGAAAGTGGAAGGTCCCGAGGTGGATGTGAACCTCCCAAAAGGAGACCTGGATGTGTCCGGCCCCAAGGTGGACATTGAAGGGCCAGATGTGGACATTGACCTCCCAGAGGGGAAGGTGAAGGGCCCCAAGTTCAAGATGCCCGAGATGCACATCAAGGCCCCCAAGATCTCCATGCCCGACATTGACCTGAACCTGAAGGGCCCCAAGGTCAAGGGGGACGTGGACGTGTCCCTGCCCAGCGTGGAGGCAGAGCTGAAAGGGCCCGAGGTCAACGTCACTGGCCCCGAGGTGGCCATGGAGAGCCCCGAGGGCAAATTCAAACTGCCCAAGTTCAAGATGCCCAAATTCTCCATGCCTGGGTTCAAAGGGGACGGGGTGGACGCTGACCTGAGCCTCCCCAAGGGTGACGTGGCCATTTCAGGCCCCAGCGTGGACCTGGAGGCTCCTGAGCTGAGCGTGGACGGGAAAGTCAAAGGTCCCAAATTTTCCATGCCCGAGATGCACATCAAGGCCCCCAAAATCTCCATGCCCGATGTCGATTTCAACCTGAAGGGCCCCAAAGTGAAGGGGGACGTCGATGTTTCTGTTCCCAAACTCGAGGGTGACCTGAAAGCCCCAGACATCGACATCAAGGGCCCCAAAGTCGATGTTGATCGCCCCGATGTTGAGTTGGAAGGGCCCGAGGGGAAGATCAAAGGGCCCAAGTTCAAGATGCCCGAGATGCACATCAAGGCCCCCAAAATCTCCATGCCCGACGTTGATTTCAACCTGAAGGGCCCCAAACTGAAGGGTGACATCGACGTTTCTGCTCCAAAGCTGGAGGGTGACCTGAAGGGGCCTGAACTGGACATCAAGGGCCCCAAAGTGGACATTGAGGCTCCTGACGTGGACATTCATGGGCCTGAGGGGAAATTCAAGATGCCCAAGTTCAAAATGCCCAAATTTGGGATGAAGGGAGAAGGCCCCGAGGTGGACGTGAACCTCCCAAAAGGAGACCTGGATGTGTCCGGCCCCAAGGTGGACGTTGAGATGCCGAGTGTGGACATTGAGGGCCCCGAGGGGAAGATCAAAGGCCCCAAGTTCAAGATGCCCGAGATGCACATCAAGGCCCCCAAGATCTCCATGCCCGACGTTGATTTCAACCTGAAAGGCCCCAAAATCAAGGGTGACATCGACGTCTCTGCCCCCAAGCTGGAGGGGAACCTGCAGTGCCCGGATGTCGACCTCAAGGGCCCCAGAGTGGACATTCAGGCCCCGGACGTGACCCTGGAAGGGCCCAAGGTGAAGATGCCCGAGATGCACATCAAGACCCCCCAGATCTCCATGCCCGACATCGACCTCAGCCTGAAGGGGCTGAAGGTCAAAGGTGACGCTGACCTGCACGGCCCCAGGCTCGAGGGGGGCCTCAAGGGCCCCGAGGTCGACATCAAAGGCCCCAAAGTGGAGCTCGAGGGCCCCGCGGTCGACGTCGATGGTCTGGAGGGGAAGGTGAAGCTGCCCAAAATGAAAATGCCCAAATTTGGCTTGAAGGGCGAAGGTCCCGAGGTGGACGTGAACTTGCCAAAGGCCGAGGTGGATCTGTCTGGGCCCAAGGTTGATCTCAGCCTGCCAGAGGTCAACGTTGAAGGTCCGGAGGGCAAAGTGAAAGGCCCCAAACTGAAAATGCCCGAAATGCACGTGAACGTCCCCAAAATCTCCATGCCCGAGATAGACTTGAACCTGAAAGGCCACAAAACCAAGGGCGGCTTTGACATTTCCACCCCAAAGGTGGAAGGTCACCTGAAAGGCCCCGAGGTCGACCTCAAAGGCCCAGAGTTTGGGGTCAAAGGCCCCGAAGTTGACGTTGAATGTCCGGATGTGAACGTCGAGGTTCCAGAAGCCAACATCAAAGCTCCCAAGTTCAAAAAGTCCAAATTTGGGTTTGGGATGAAGACCCCCAAGGCCGAGGTGGATTTACCTGAGGCCGAGCTGAACGTGGAGTCACCCGAGGCCCACCTGTCCGCCAAGGGCAAGAAGAGCAAGTTCAAGATGCCCAAAATCCACATGAGCGGGCCCAAAGTGAAGGGCAAGAAGGGGGCGTTCGAGGTCAGCGCGGCCGGGGCCGAGCTGGACGCGGAGCTCAGCGCCGCCGGCCCCGACGTGAAATCCCCCAAGGGCAAGAAACCCATGTTTGGGAAGATCTCCTTCCCGGACGTCGAATTTGACCTGAAATCGCACAAATTCCGCGGGGAGGCCTCGGCGGGGGCCCCGAAAGTCGAGGGCGATCTGGAGGTCAAGGGCGACCTCAACGTGGACGTGGAAGGCCCCGAGGTGAACCTGAAGAGCCCAAAAGTGAAACTGCCCGGGGTCCAGGTGGGCGCGGGGGACGCGAAGGTCGGGGGGGAGCTGAAGGGACCCCCCGGGATCGGCGTCGAGGTGAAAGGACCAAAAGTGAAAGGTGAATTCGGCGTGGGCGGGGCACAACTGGAAGGTCCCGAGGTCAACCTGGGATGGCCCAAGGGGGGCAAAACGGGTTTGGGGCTGGAAATGCCGGACGTGAGCTCGGAGGTGGACGTGAAGCTCAAAGGGCCCCAGATCTCCGGAGCTGAGCTGGAGGGGAACCTGAAAGGACCAAAATTAAAGGGAGATTTGGACATTTCGGGCTCCGTGGAAGGGCCTGGGGTGGGCCTGGACCTCGGCGGCCTCGGGGGGAAGGTGAAGCTGCCCACGGTGAAGACCCCGACCCTGGAGGTCCAGGGCGGCAGCCCCTGCTCCGTCCAGTCCCCGGGGGCCAGCCTGGACCTCCAGGGGCCCTCGCTGGACGTCTCTGGCCTGGATGTGGATGTCAACACGAAAGGACCAAAGTTGAAAGGAGAGGTTGGCGTCAAATCCCCCCAGGTGTCGGCGGACGACGCCGGCTTTGAGATTTTGGGGGGCACCATCAAGCTCCCGTCGCTGAAGCTGCCCCAGTTCAGCATCTCCAGCCCCGGAGGGGACGCGGGGCTCGCTCTGGAGGGGCCCCAGGTCAAGGGGGGGCTGGAGGGCCCCGAGGTGGAGCTGAAAGGGCCGAAATTCTCCTCGCCGGACGCTGAGCTGAGGCTGAAAGGACCAAACGTGGACGTGGCCGGTGATATCAAAGGGTCAAAGGTCAGCGTGGACGCCCCTCACGGAGGGGCCGGCGTCCACCTGGAGGCTCCGGCCATGGAAGTGTCCGGCTCAGGGCTGAACCTCAACGTGAAGGGGCCGAAGGTCAAAGGTGGGGTTGAGGCCACGCCGCCATCAGTCAGTGCCGCTTCCGGAACCTTCCACGCCTCCTGCCCCAAGCTGGGCGCCGAGGGCGGCCAGGTCAAGGTGTCCTTCCCCAAGCTCCGCATGCCCAAATTCGTCTTCTCGGAGCCCGAGCCCAAGGGCCGCGAGGTCGGCGTGGACGTCGAGTTCCCCGAGGCGGAGCCGGACGAGGCCGAGGCGCGGCTGAAGAGATCCAAGATCAAGATGCCCAAATTCAACTTCTCCAAGCAGAAAGGCCGGGCCGGCGGTGGTGGTGCCACCCTGGGGTCCCCCGAGGCCGCGTCCGGGTCGGCGTCCGGCTCCAAGGCCAGCCTGGAGGGCGAGCTGGAGGCCGAGGCGCCCTCGGGCAAGGCCAAGTTCTCGCTGTTCCGCGGGAAGAAGTCGCGGCCGCGCTCGTCGTCCTTCAGCGAGGCCGAGCCCGAGGGCGCCCGGCAGCCCCGGGGCAAATTCGGGACCTTCGGGGGCATCGGCTCCAAGGGCAAGGGCAGCTACGAGGTGACCCCCGGCCACGAGGACGGCGCGAGGTCGCCCCAGGCCGCCCGGCTCTCGTCGTCGTCGTCGTCGTCCGAGGGCGGCGCCCGCGCCGGGGTCCGGCTGCCCGAGCTGGAGCTGGCGGTGGCCAAACGCAAGGAGTGACCGCTGGGGCGGTCAGCGAGTGACCGCCGGGAGGTCAGGAGTGACCACTGCAGGAGTGACCACCTGGAGGCCATGAGTGACCATTGGAGGTCATGAGTGACCACCTGGAGGCCATGAGTGACCGCCTGGAGGCCATGAGTGACCACCGGAGGCCATGAGTGACCACCTGGGATGGCCACCAGGAGGTCATGAGTGACCACCAGAGGTCATGAGTGACCCTTGAATGGTCATGAGTGACCACCAGAGGTCATGAATGACCCTTGAATGGTCATGAATGGCCCTTGGGTGGTCATGAGTGACCCCTGGAGTGGTCAGCAGTGACCCCTGGAGTGGTCAGCAGTGACCCCGGGGGGGGGGTTGTACATAGCCCTGCCCCGAGGGACCCCCACGTGTACAGAGTGGGGGGGAGGGGCTGGGGGTCCCCCCCTCCCCCCGGATTTTGGGGTCCCTCCCCCCCCCCCCCGCCAAGAGCTTCTCACTTCTTCTCTCCCAATTTATCTTTTTTTTTTTTTTTTTTTTTTTGATATTTTTATTGGGGTTTATTTTTGTGTCCCCCGTTTTTTTCCTCCTCCTCCTCCTCCTCCCCAAAATATTTTCAGTGTTTGGTTCGTGGAAATGTGGAAATTAATTTTTTTTCCCTTCCATTTTAACCTTTTTTTTTTCTTTTCTTTTTTCTTTTTTTTTTTTTTTTTTTTTTTTTGCGGGGCTGGAGGTTCTGCTGGATTTATTCAAAATTTGGGGGGTTTGTTTTGGTTTGTGAAAGAAATGAAACCAAAACTGTGGATTTTTTATTAAAAAAAAACCCTATCCAAAACCATATTAAAAAACAAAGCAAAAATATGGATTTACCTAAAAAAAGAAACCAAATAAAATGGAATTACTTAAATAAACCGAAGTAAAAATGTGGATCCATTAAAAAAAAATTGGAAAAATTAACATAAAAATCAGTTAAATAAAAGAATCAACAGAGGAAAAAATTGGGTCTGTTAAGAAAATAAACCAAAGAAATGGGGAACAATTAAAAAATAAAATTAAATTGATTTAGCCAAAGAAATAAACCAAATAATGTGGATTTATTGAGCAGAGTAAACAAAAAAAGTGGATTTATTACTAAAATAAACAAACATATGGATTTATAATAAGATAAACAAAAACCATGTATTTATTAATAAAATAAACCAAAATATGGATTTGTTAATAAAATAAACAGCAAAAAAGGATTTATTAATAAAATAATCTGAAGAAAATGTATTTATTACATAAAATAAACCAAAAAATATGGATTTAACACATAAAATAAACCAAAACCATGGATTTATTACTAATATAAAGCAAAACCATGGGTTTGTTATTAAAAATAAACAGAAGAACGTGGGTTTAATATTAAAAATAAACCTAAACCGTGGATTTATTACTAGAAACAAACCAAATAAACCAACTGTGACCTCTGGGATGGATCAGTGTCCCCTGAGCTGGGAAATTCCATCCGTGGCACAAGACCCGGAGCTCGAATGACTCCAGCAGGGCGAAGCCAGCCCAGAGCCGCTCCCGAGGGTTATTTTTACTTTATTTTCATTTTATTTTCCTTTTTTTAAGCTGTTTTATCGCTGTTTTTGTTGTATTTGTTACATCCTTTGTACTATAATTTGATAAATTTCCGTCTCGTTTATCCCCAAAGTTTAAAAGGATCGTCCGGGGTAAAGTTTTGTTTGTGAGGAAATTTTTTCTGGGGGGGGATTTTAAATAAATTAAATTAAAAATAAAAATTAAAAAAAAAAATAACCCTCAGAAAATGGAAGAAACCTTTTCCCTTTGCAGCACTTTAACGCCGATTAACGGGAGAAAATCCGGGGTGGAAAACGCAAATAAAATTTGTTTATTAACCGCGACTTTGGTGCACTTTGGGTCATTTTGGGCTCCAATTTGGGGATTTTTCGCTCCAATCGGATCCTCCCGCTGGATTTGGGGGTCCCAACCCCCCCCAACCCCGAAATTTGGGATCCTGTCCCCTCTCCCATCTCGAATTTCAGGTCCCCTCCCCCCACCATGGCTCCGCCCCCTCCCAAATTTGGGATTTCCCCTCCCCCTATTGCCCCTCCCCCGCAGGCCCTTTCTGCCCCTCCCTCTCCCCAAAAATCCCCCCCACACTTTGGTTCTCCCGCCCGCGGGGGGCGCTGCTGCGCATTCCTCCACAAAATGGCGGACCGGAAGTCGGCCATGTTGCCCTGGTGCACGACGGGTGCTGTAGTCCCATAAACCACCACCACTTCCGGCCACGTCCTTCCGATGCACGATGGGAACTGAAGTTCAAATTTCGAGGCAGAACCGGAAGTGGCCTGGCGGCCATGTTTTTCCGAGGCATCATGGGAGCTGTGGTTTTTAAATGGGGCGGAAGCTCGGCCATGTTGGCACCCGATGCATGCTTGGAGCTGTAGTTTGCTGCCGTAAACAACCCAGGCGGGGTCTTGGCCTCGTGCGCTGGGTTTTACTGGTCCGCACTGGGGGCAGCTGCTTGCCCCGCCCCCGTGACATCACCCACACAGAGGCATCATGGGTAGGTGGCCAAATTTACTGAGGGACGGTCATGCCCAGGTCCAGGGGGCGTCCAGGTGTCCATGGAGGGTCCCCAGGTGTCCCCAGATGTCCACTGGAAGGTCCTCAGGTGTCCCAGGTGTGTCCCCAACTCCGTCAGGAGTCCCCAGGTGTACAGGACAGGTCCTTCATGTGTCCATTGGGAGGTTCCCAGGTGTCCCCGCTGTCCCCAGGTGTGTATGGGGGTTCCCAGGTGTGCTCAGGTGCTCAGCAGCGCCGAGGGGAGTTGGGATATTTCAGTTTGAGCCCCTGTTTGAACTCCCGGAAGCGCTGGCGGTTGCGGCCCAGCTCGGCCTCGCGCCCCTCGTGGAACCCGCCCGGCTCCTTCCAGCCCCGGTGGGTGACGAAGGCCCCGTCCAGCACCGCAAACCGGAACCCGGCCACGTGCAGCTCGCAGGCCTGGGGGGGACAACGGGGGGGTCAGGGGCCACAGAGAGACCCCATGGAGCCCCAGAGACCACCCCAAATCCCACAGAGACCCCCACAGAACCCACAGAACACCCCAAGAGCAGAACCCCCAGCCCCCATGGCCACCCCATGGTCACCCTACAGCCACCATGACCACCCAAGGCCACCCCATGACCCCCAAGACCACCCCAATGTCACCATGACCACACCATGACCCCCAAGGCCACCAGGGCCACCCCAACACCACCATGCCCACCCCATGACCCCCATCCCCACCCCACGGCCACCATGCCCACCCCAAACCCCCTCCCATGCCCCCAAAGCCCCCATTCCCCCGTCCCTGACCTGGCTGATGCGGTTGAAGCCGTACTGCAGGAAGCCCTCGTCGAAGGGGGGCACGCCGCGGGCGGGGGCCACGTAGAACGGCTCCCAGGGGTCCCTCCAGGGCACCTCGTAGGCCACGCGCAGCCGGGGGGGGCCCGGGGGGGCCGGGGGCAGCCCCCGCCAGCGGCCGAAGGCGGTGGGGGCCTGGCAGGGCGGGCAGAGCCCCCCGTAGAACGGCCGGGCCTCCCCCGCCCCCCAGAGCCGCAGCAGCTCCGCCTTGGAGCCCGGGGGGGGCCCCGAGCCCCGCAGCTCAAAGGCCGGGAGGACAAAGAGGGCCCGGGCCCAGGGGGGGGCACCGCCGGCCTGGGGGGCGCTCGGGGTGTGGGGGGCGCTCGGGGTGTGGGGGTCACTCAGGGCATTGGGGTCACCCAGAGTTTTGGGGTCACTTAGAGTGTTGTGGTCACTCTGGGCATTGGGGTCACTCAGGCTATTGGGGACCCCCGAGGTGTTGGGGACCCCCAACCAACTTTGGGGGACGGGAGCCCCCAAAGTTTTGGGGTTCCCCAAATCCCCCTGAGCGCCCCCATTTTTAGGGTCCTGTTCCCCCGCGTCTGGGGGCTCCCGTCCCCAGTTTTTGGGGTCCTGTTCCCCCCAGTTTTTGGGGTCCTGTCCCCCCCAGTTTTTGGGGTCCAGGCCCCCGCTCCGCAGCAGCTCCAGGAACCCCTCGCGCAGCCCCGGGCTCGGCTCCACGTCCGCGTCCACCATGAGCACGAAGCGCCCCCAGAACTGGGGCGGGGGTCCCGGCCCGGGCCCGCCCCCCGCCGCCCCCTGCCAGGCCACGTTCCTGAGCAGATTCCCGGGGTACGGCGCCCCCAAAGCGTAACTGGGGGGGTCGGCGGCCGCCAGCCGGGCCAGGGCCCCCCGGCACCCCCCGGGCCATCTCTGGGGGGGGCTCTGGGGGGGCGGCACTCGGGGCGGGGGTCCCGCCGCCCCCTGCACCACCTGCAGCCTGAGCCGCCCCCTCAGGGCCCGGCAGGGCCCGCCCAGGGCCCCGAGCAGCTCCTGGAGCCCCCCCCGGGGCTCCCCAAACACCGCCAGGGACAGCGGCCCCCCCCAGGCGCCGCCCCGGGACCGGGACCCCCCCAGCGCCGCCGCCGCCCGCCCGGGGCTCCCGTGCGCCGCCAGCACCAGCTCGGGGCGGGGGGCGCGGGCCCAGCCCGGGGGCGCCCCCAGAACGTCCCAGAACACCCGGAACGACCCCGAGGCGTCCAGGACCCCCCTGGGCGGGCGCGGGTGCGGATGGGGGGCGCGGGAATGGTGGGGAGGGGGCGGCAGCGAGCGCAGGTAGAGGGTCTGGAGCAGGGCCAGGGCCCCCAGGAGCCACGCACAGCCCCCCAAAACACGGGCACGGGACATGGGCGGCACCGGCTCACACTGGGGGGGCCGGGGGGATTTGGGGGGCACTGGGGGGATTTTGGGTACTTTGGGGGGCAGATTGGGGGGACCGAGCGCACTGGGAGCTACTGGGGCTCACTGGGAGGGGCCAGAGGGGGCACTGGGGGATACTGGGGGGGACTGGGAGGATTCTGGGGGTCGCTGGGGCCGGCGCGGAGCCGGGACCAGTCCGGCATGCTGGAACCAGTACGGGGATACTGGGACCAGCTCGGGGTTACTGGGACCAGCTCGGGGTTACTGGGACCAGCTCGGGGTTACGGGGCAGGGTCTGGGGGCAGTTCCGGGCCGATCGGGACCAGTTTGGGGTCGCTGGTGCCAGTTTGGGGTCACTGGGACCAGTCCGGGACTCACCGCGCTGCGCCGGAGCCGGGAGGGGCTGCGCATGCGCGGGGCGGAGGAGGCGGGGCCCCACGCACAGGGGGCGGAGTTATGCAGATTAGCCCGTGCTGCGTGATGGGCGCGGTTTCACCGCCAGGGGGCGCGGTTTGAGCGTTGTGGGCGTGGTTTCTGCGCCGGGGGCGGGACCCCCGGGACCCCCAAATTCCAACAAATCCTCCCCAAATCCTCCCCAAATATTCCCCAAATCCCCTCAAAGTCCTCCAAATCTCCCCAAATCCCCCCCAAATCCCACCCAAATCCCACCCAAATCCTGGTGTCCCCCCCAAATTCCGGCTCATTCCGACCCCTGGCTCCTCCCCTGGGGCTCCCCTGAGTTTTTTGTCCCCCCCGAACCCCCCCAAGTTGTCCCCAGTGTCCCCCCTCCCCAAATTGCCGCCCCCTCCCCAAAGGAGCTGCCACAGGCACGGGGACCTTGGGGGACACTTTTATTGCCAGGGGGGACATTGGGGACGCGTTGGGGACATTGGGGACGCGTTGGGGACATTGAGGACGCGTTGGGGACGCGTTGGGGGCGTTGGGGACTCGGTCCCATGAGCGGTGACGGTGTCCCCCTCCTTCGGGGACATCGGTGGCACTGGGGACGCTGAACAGGCTCAGTCCATGGGGTTGGGGACAGTGGGGACATCGGGGTCTCAGGATTTGCCGCGGGTGACGAGCGGGTCCCGCGTCCCTTGGGGACATTGGGGACGTTGGGTCAGGCTCAGTCCATGGGGTCGGGGACACATTTGGGGACACATCTGGGGACATCGGGGACATCAGGCCAGGATGTCCCTGGGAGGGTGCTGGGGACATCGGGGACACTGAGGCACATTGTGCCTCAGCCCCAGGGCTTGGGGACATCATGGGGACATCATGGGGACATCATTGGGGACATTGGGGACATTTTGGGGACATCATTAGGACACCATTGGGGACATTTTGGGGACATTATTGGGGAAATTGGGGACATCATTGGGGACATTATTGGGGAAATGTGGGACAATACTGGGGACATTATTTGGGGTATTGGGGACATAATTGGGGAAACTGGGAACCTTTTGGGGACATTCTTGGGGACTTTGGGGACATCAAGCCACATCGTGCCTCGGTCCCCCGCCTTGGGGACGTTGAGGGTGACACCCACAAGGGGATGGGGGGGAGGGGACACAATTTTGGGGGGCGGGACTCTGCCAAAAACGCAGAGCCCGAGGTGGGGGGGGGGAGGTGACAAAGGGACAAAGGGACAAAGGGACAAAGGGACAAAGGGACGGGGGGACACGAGGGACGGTCCCCAGGCGTCCGGGCTGGGGGCGGGGGGGGCCACCAGCCCCCCCCCAATTACCTTAGAGACTCGTTACGAGTTAAATTAGCACGAGCGGCCCCAAAGGGGGGGCGGCAGAGGGGGCGGCCGGGCCGGGGGGCGCTGGCCGGGCGGGGTGACAATGACAATATGCCATACTGGGGGCAAGTCGCGTCACAGACTTCAGTTCAGAACGACGGGGCGCGCTGGCTTCCGGCTGCGGGGCACGGGGACACGTCAGGGATGGAGCAGGGCACCCACAGTGACCCCAAACCGCCCCAAAACTGCCCTAAAAACACCCCGAAACTGCCCCAAAAACACCCCGAAACTGCCCCAAAATCCGCCCCAAAACTGCCCCAAAAACACCCCGAAACTGCCCCAAAACTGCCCCAAAAACACTCCGAAACTGCCCCAAAAACACCCCGAAAACACCCCGAAACTGCCCCAAAATCCACCCTGAAACTGCCCCAAAATCCGCCCTGAAACTGGCCCGAAACTGCCCCAAAAACACCCTGAAACTGCCCCAAAAACACCCCGAAAACACCCCGAAACTGCCCCAAAAACACCCCGAAACTGCCCCAAAATCCGCCCAAAAACACCCCAAAACTGCCCCAAAATCCACCCGAAAGCCACCCCAAAATTGCCCCAAAATCCGTCCCAAAACCACCCCGAAACTGCCCCAAAATCCACCCCAAAAACCCCAACAACTGCCCTAAAAACCCCAAAACCACCCTGGAACTCCCCCATAACTGCCCCAATACGCAAACCCGCCCAAACTCCCCCCCAAAACTGCTGCAAAAACTGCCCCAAAACACCCCCAAAACTGCCCCAAAACACCCCCAAAACTGCCCCAAAACCCCCTGAAGCACCCTGAGAAGCCCCGATACCCCTCCAAATACCCCAAACCCCCCCCAAGAACCCCAAATTCCCCCAAGCCCCCGTGTCCCCCCCGTGCCCACCTTTGCGGAAGGCGTCCTGGAGGCGGCTCTGGGGGAGTTGATACAACTCAGCAGCAGCAGCAGCAGCAGCGAAGGCGTCGCGGGGCGACCGGGCCGGGGGGGGGCGCCCCGGCGGGCCTGGGGGGCACCCCCGGGGCTCGGCGGGGGCCCCCGCGGGCGGCGATGGCCGCCAGCCCCTGCAGCAGCCGCCGCAGCGCCGGCCCGGCCGCGGGCACCGGCGGCGGCGGCGACGTCTCGGGGGTCAGCAGCGCCCCGGGGGCGCCCCCCGGGACCCCCGGCCCGGCCGCGACCCCGCCCGGGCTCTCGGGGCTCGGGGGCAGCTTCTCGGGGGCGGCCTCGGGGGGCTCGGGGGGCCCGAAGGCGAAGGGCGGCGCCTGGCGCGGGGTGTAGGGCGGCGTCCAGGTCTCGGTGCCCCCCAGGCCGGGGGTCTCGGGCGCCCCCAGCCCCAGGCGGAGCAGCCCCAGCGGGGCCGGGGGCGCCAGGGGGGCGGCCAGGCCCAGCCCCAGGTCGGGGTCGGCGCCGAGCTCCGGCTGGGCCAGGCCGGAGCCGAGCGCGGCGCCCACGGCGAAACCGAGGGCAGAGCCCAGCCCGGGGCCGGTGTCCGAGCAGGGCACGGAGCCCAGGCCCAGCCCGGCCGCGGGCACCACGTCCACACCCAGGCCAATGTCCAGCTCGGGGCCCAGGGAGGCTCCGGACACCAGGCCCACACCGGAGCCGAGGCCAGAATTGTGTCCAAGCCCGGGGTTCTGTCCCAGTCCAGAACTGGTTCCCAGTCCAGAGTTGGTTCCGAGTCCAGAGTTGTGTCCGAGGCCGGAGTTGTGTCCAAAGCTGGCATTTTGTCCATGTCCAGTGCTCTGTCCAAGCCCAGTGTTGTGTCCGAGTCCAGGGCTCTGTCCGAGGCCGTGGTTCTGTCCGAGGCCGTGGTTCTGTCCAAGGCTGTGGTTCTGTCCGAGCCCAGCGCTGTGTCCGAGTCCAGGGCTCTGTCCCAGCCCAGCGCTGTGTCCGAGGCCGTGGTTCTGTCCAAGGCCATGGTTCTGTCCCAGCCCAGCGCTGTGTCCGAGGCCGTGGTTCTGTCCAAGGCCGTGGTTCTGTCCAAGGCTGTGGCTCTGTCCCAGCCCAGCGCTGTGTCCGAGGCCGGCGTTGTCCAGTCCAGCTCCGGCCGGCAGAGCTGACCCCGCGCTGGCTCCCAGGCTGGCCCCGAGGCTCAGTCCGGCCGCGGCTCCGGCCCCCACGGTCACTCCGACGTCCGGGGGCAGCGCGGCCGCGCCGATGCCCAGCCCCACGCTGGCCCTGATGGCGCCGCCGGCCAGGCCGGGCCCAATGCTCAGGGCCACACCAGCGGTCACTCCGGCCACGCCGGCGGTCACTCCAGCCATGCCAGCAGTCACTCCGGCCACACCGCCCGGCCCCAGGTCATCCCCGAGGTCAGCGGGGCCCACGTCGGCTCCGGCCGCCACGTCCAGGCCAATGTCCACTCTGAGGCCACCTCCCACGCCGAGGCCCAGGCCGGTGTCCGAGCCCACTGACCCCCCCAGGCCGGGGTCAGCAGTGGCCGTGCCGGCAGCTCCCAGGCCATGTCCGATGGTGGCTCCAAGTCCGGGGTCAGCGGTGGCCGCAGTGGTGGCCGCAAGGCCGTGTCCAGCGGTGGCCGCAAGGCCGTGTCCAATGGTGGCCCCAAGTCCAGGGTCAACAGTGACCGTGGCGTTGGCTGCCAGGCCGTGTCCAACACCAGGCCCCAGGCCGGGCTCAGCAGTGGCCACAGCGCTGTGTCCGAGGCCGTGTCCAATGCTGGACCCCAGGCCGGGCTCCAGGCCACTGCCCAGGGCAGCTCCGAGGCTGTGTCCGATGGTGGCTCCGAGTCCAGGGTCAGCGGTGGCCGCAGCGCCGTGTCCGAGGCCGTGTCCAATGGTGGCCCCCAGGCCGGGGTCAGCGGTGGCCGGAGTGCTGTGTCCATGTCCGAGGCCGTGTCCGATGCCAGGCCCCAGGCCGGGGTCAGCGCTGTGTCCGAGCCCGATGGTGGCCCCCAGGCCGGGGTCAGTGGTGGCCGGAGCGCTGTGTCCATGTCCGAGGCTGATGGTGGCCCCCAGGCCGGGGTCAGCGGTGGCCGCAGTGCCGTGTCCGAGGCTGTGTCTGATGGTGGCCCCCAGGCCGGGGTCAGCGGTGGCCGGAGTGCTGTGTCCGTGTCCGAGGCCGTGTCCGAGGCCAGGCCCCAGGCCGGGGTCAGTGCCGTGTCCGAGCCCATGTCCGATGGTGGCCCCCAGGCCGGGGTCAGCGGTGGCCGCGGCGCCGTGTCCGAGCCCGTGTCCATCGGCTCCCAGCCCGCTGACCGCCAGCCCCACGGCCCCCAGGCCGGGCCCCAGGGGCAGCTCCAGGCCGGGCCCGAGGTCGCCGCTGGGGAAGTCGAGGCCGGGCCCGAAGGGTTCCGGGGGTCCCGGGGGGGCTTCGGCCGCCAGCTGCTGGCGCAGGCACCAGGCCTCGGCCTCGCTGCGGGGGGACAGCGCGGTCAGTGGGGCTGCGGCCACTGGACAGCGCGGTCAGTGGGGCTGCGGCCACCGGACAGCGCGGTCAGCACGGCTGTGGCCACCCGGGGTCAGCAGGGGCACTGGGCACTCAGCACTGACCACTGACACTGACCTGATGACGAAGTTGTGGGCCAGCAGGGCCGGCCCCTCCGGCCGCAGGCGGGCGTACACCCATGTCCAGCCCAGGCCGTCCTTGCGCTG